CCTTCCCGCCCCGGCCGCCGCGCGCCCCACGCAGGGCACGCAGCGCGCGCCTAGCAACGGCCGCCTGGCAACGGCGTCACTTCCGCCTTCTGGACCACGTGATCCCGGGCCGCAATCCCCACCTTAGCGGCGCTGGGTTCGCGGTAAGGTCTCTTGGGGGCCTCCCAAGACCCTGCCCAGCCTGCTCCGGCCACCCTTTCGCTGTCGCAACCTGGGGTAGGAGCCTTTGTCCCCACGTCCCTGCGGGCACTCTCAAGCCAGGACCCAAGAGGGGGGCTCTAGCACCACCAGCTATGGGATCCAGGTAGGTTCCTGACTCGTTCTGGGGTCCATCTCCATTTCCAGAATGATACGCACCCCCAGGAGCGTCCCACACCCACTGACAGCCCAGCCTTCGGGAGGGAGCGTGCACACCTGGGTACTCCCACTTCACCCCGTCAGCCGTGGGGTCACCTGCCCAACAAGCTAACAGTGTCCCACAAGACCCGAGGGCTGAGCAACCCCAGCTCCCATAGTTATCTGCCAGGCTCCCCCCAAAACCTGTGGGACACCTTCCTCCACTGTCCCACGCCAAGTCTGGGAGAGAGGACCAGGAATCCTGAGCCCTGGTCCCAATCCGGGGTCTCTGGGACCCCATCCCAGATCCAGGTACAGAACATTGATGGGCCTCCCAGCTGGGCTCAGGCACCTGCCAACACCAACAGGGAGAGGAAGCAGGAGTGGGTGTGTGTGTGTGGGGGAAGGGTGAGGTCCACAGACTCCCAAGGAAGATGAGCTGGCCCCAGCACCTCTGTCAGAACCCAGAAGAGCAGCTACGCAGAGCTGAGAGGACCACTGCTACCCCACACACACCAAATAAAGGCCACGCTGAAAAGGCAGTTTCTTGACTTTATTAACCTGGAGCTCTGCCATACCAGCCCCAGGGGCTGGTCCCCAGGCACAGTGAGCAGGATTGAGGTCAGACAGGTTCAGCCCCTGGCAGCCTGGCACAGCTGGGCCAAGGGGTCAGAAGGTACAAAAGTCCAAATGCTGGCACTTCAGGTGTGGCTGGCATCCAGCCTGGCCCAGAGGGAAACACCTGCTGCAGTGGGTACACGTGGTCTTCTCCTAGCAGAGGGTCTGCCATGTGGCAGGGCCAGGCCCGTGCAGGCGACGTTCCTTCCAAAGCGGCGGCTAGGAGCAGTTAGTGATTCTGGCCAGGAACTGCTGTGCCCACCACTCATCCAGGTCGATGGGCACGAAGTCTGTGGGCAGAGCAGAAGGCTGGGCAGTGATGTCGCCTCCCAACCTGTCAGCATCTCCCCACCTCAAGCTGACCACAAGCCCCTAACCCAGACCCCAAATGTGGCAGGCCACTGTGAAGATGTGGGTCAGGTTCAAGTCCCCTCGGCTGTGCCCTGGGACTAGAACCCGGCAGGGCCCAGGTCACTATGGCAGGGAGTGGAGGGGTCTCCCTGAGGGTGGGGGAGGGCTCACTTTGCAGTCTGGGGTTGGGGGTCCTCTCGACATACTGCACAGGCCTCGGACTGCTCTCACCGGCTGGGCCACCACCCAGCTGCTGCTCCACTTGCTGCCAGGCTGTAGGGAGAGGACAGTCAGGTTGAACCAGGTCCCTGGAACCCTGTCTCCCCCCCCCAGGGCCTGGTGGCCACTCTGGACCACAGCCCAGAAGTGGAAGTAGGCAGCCTTCTGGACTGTCGCAGGACAAACAAGTTGAGAGCCCAGGAAGAACCCAGCGCTCTCGCAGCTGCAAGTCGGGTTACAGTGGGGAAGAGGACCAGTGGCCCAGGCCATAACCTCGAG